ACATAGATGTGCACACAAACACACACATATATATATATATTCTTTATTATGTATTATGTATTATATATATATATATATATTATATGTATTGTATGTATTTGTATATGTCTATCCTATATATATATATACATATATATATAAATATATATATATGTGTGTGTGTGTTCTATAAGTATATATACCATATATATATGTTCTACAAGTATATATATATATAAGTATATGTATATGTATACATATATTTATATGTATGTATGTATGTATGTATGTTTGTATATTTATATATATATATATTCTACAAGCGGCCGATAACCATTTGCCGAACTACGCCATACTGAACGATGGGAAGCATTTATAGTACATAGGTACTAGGTAGTAAAGATGGGTACGGTGTGTAGTGCCTTGCCGTATATATTTGCTTGGGTCAACATATATATGTATATATTAAAGTGGGACTCTTGTTTAGGGATCGCACGTCGATTTGATGAATGGCGAAGCTATTCATTGTATGTCAAGGCATGCAGAATAGTCTGGCTGAGCATCTAATATTTCGGTCGCAGTGATAGTAGCGAATCTGCTTTGAATGTTTTACATTTGTTGGACGCACATTTCTATTCCAATCGGCTAAAATTACATAATTTATAGCAGCCAGGAGATATAAATACTATAATAGATATTGCTTGTATTTATAGGGCGGATTTTATCTGTCTGAATTAAATAGGCATGGATTCTTGCGGTCTGGACACACGCAGCTGAAACTGGCTCTTCTTGTTGGGCTAATAACACCTATGGGAATCTGTGAGAAGTTGTTAATTCTAAATTAAAGTCAGCGAGCCGCTACACGACAACAATCAAATGATAATACAAATTTTATTGGTATTAGACTAGTTATATACCTCAACGAAGAAGCGATTCATATTTAATGATCTTGTAATTGATCTACATCCGACCGGGCATAGACGTTCGACGAATTGTTGTCATATCAGGTACACAATGAAAGCCAATTGCTGAAAGAATTCTGAGCTGTTTTTCTCTCTGTCTTCCACGAGCTCTCGTTAGATGCACATTAATATTGTGCATGGAGTCTTCGTGAACGGCCATGTCCGAGAACTTGTAGGCCATCAATTCCTCGTATATCAGATTCTGAGACTCTCTTGTAGGGATTGCACATCGATTAGAAGTCCGATCGTACTGAGAGGGCGTGAATGTGCAAGCTACTTCCGAAGCAGGATTGATACGAACGCGTGGGGGAGGGTCACGGAATAGTTCAGACATCGACTGTGAGCACTCGCACGTGCAAGTTTTGTGCAGCTTGATAATGGGCCTCGGCTGTTGCTCGGCCGACTTTTCAGAGTACGACATACTTCGGTTCAAACTATGACCGTGTGCGGCCTTCGAGAGCGCCCTTTCGGTTTCCTGTAAGGTAGGCGTGTTGCCTGAATACGACAGTCTGCGTCGCACGGTCGGACTGTTGGGTTTCGACGCGGGGAGCCAATCATCCATGTCCTCCGTCACATATTCTCCAGCGAGTATACGATCGATTACTGACACGGAACGTGTTGCCAATGGGTTTGTTCGGTGCGAAATCGGCGCAGATGCCCACTGCGAGCCAGAACTTGATGAGCTTTCAATCAGTGATATCGCACTAGGTAGCGGGCTGAAGGACAGTCGTGCAGCTTGCATGTTTGCTCTCCGGTCTAAACCAGGGTATGGGCTTTCGGGTACAAGACCAGGGTCTCTCGTGGGGAACGAGGAATAGAGACCGTGTCCATATGAATTTAGAGTCATAGACGAGGAGTTGTCGTTATAATTAGTCAATGATTCTATGCTATTGGACGAGTGTGAAGACATGACTGTTGTTAGCTCACTAAGTTGGCGATCTTCGTTCGAATAGGAACTCCGGCGCGCTGGCGAGCGAACTTCCGCAGTTCGGAACTGTGCACGACCAACCGTTACTCCAGTGAAAGGCGCTGGAGACCACGCACCGGAGCCAAGAGGGTTGCTCCTAAACGAATCTAAACTTCCAGTAGGGCTCTGGTTCATACTTAGTCGGCGTCTATGATGGCGATAGGCACTCATGCACGGAGAGGCAGAAAATTTACTGTGCTGCGATGCTGGTATCTGAGAATTACTTCTAGTCAAAGTTGCCTGAGAGTGTAGCGTTGTAGATTTGATTGTGTCGGGTAAGCGTGTTTCACTGTTGCTACGCTGTAATCTACGCTGCTGCACATTTTGCACGCTAGTCAATATATCCTGGGTCGGATTTCGAATACGTCTTAGATAACTTTCAGATTTGTCGTGAGGTTTAAAAATTGGAGACTGGAGACTGGATACCTGAGCTTCAAGAACTACTTCATTATCCTGGACATCCCGATCAAGCAGATCATCGGACAAAGCGATTGTATACATGCTCTTGCTTTGAAATTCCAAAGCGCTGCTTCGACGTTTCTTCTTTGCAATCTTCGCGGCAGTCTTGGCAATTTTCTGAGCCTCTTTCGAATCTGTCTTGCTCATACTCTGACTACGAAACAACTTGACAGCATCATTTGCATGCATACTTTTCTTTTCATTTTTGCTTTGTTTCTTTTCTTTTTTCTGATCAATTGCTTGCTGATTCCTGCTCGAGCCTTTACCGTGAGCGACATAGATTGAATCCTTTGATCGGAGTGATAACCCGACTGGTGCCGACATCTCGAGAGTCTTCACTTTGTTTACACTCGACTTCTCCGCAGATTTACAATGTGCAACGTATATAGAATCTTTGCAACGCATAGATAGCCCAACAGAGTTTCCTTTCTCGACATCTTGCTTCCCACTAGCTCGAGGTACCAAGGTGGTACTCCCATCACCTTTATAGATTATGTGCTTTACCTCCCGTCCGTCGATGCTCTGTGCTGAGATGCTGTCGATAGAGAATTCTCTCTTGCCCTTTCCTGATTTACCGGCTTGCTTGCTTTTGGAACTCGTGAGAGCCCTTCGCAATGTCGTAATACTTGTTCCAACAGATAGCACCATTCTTAATAGTTCAATTAAGAATGTGTTTGGAGTATGTTGTGTAAGCTCAACTTTATGTTCGATCGAACTGCATAGAGTGGAGTTTCAAGGACGCACGAAAATTGTTTTTGTCAGCTCTTGTTACTTACATAGCAATCTTTTGTATTCATATTGACTGACCTGGTAATCTGGTATAAGACAGACCATTTCGGTATGACAAAGTGTCGATACTGTCGGAAACTCGATCACTACCTCGAACTGACGATGTGTCATATATTAAAGTCAGAAGTCCGATATACGCCATATTATACGACATAAAAAACTCATTGCGACGGATCGGAAACTATTTCATTATTTTTAAAAGGAAGACATGTCTCTGTCGTTTACCTGTTACCTAGCCACCATATTGAGTATCGAAATGCATTATTTGAAAATATTTGCTCTTTGCGATCTTGTATGTATTTATTTAGCCTCTGGAGTTACGACTTACGAGTACTTTTAGAGTCTGTGAGAGACTGAGAGACTGCGAGTTTGAGTCTCTGAGACTCTTGAGGATGTAAACTGTAAAGTGTAAACTGTAACTCTAAACTGTAAAAGCCAGCGAGTGAAAGACAGTAAGTAAAGACTGGAAGAGTTTCCGACTCATAGACTCAGAGTCTGCGTCTCTGCGAGAGTGACTCTCATACTCTCAGTCGTCACTCGTCAGCTAGGCTGGTATGAGGTCGCGACGTGTCGCCAAAAAGAGGATGTAAAAGACAGTCGCGACAGGTCGTTTACTATTATGTCGGCCTACCTCTAGACGACGACCGTGGGGCGTCGGAGTCTCGCTGTCTCAGTGTCTCACGCGCTCGGCAATGTAGTCTCAGACTCGCACAAACTCACAAGTCACAACTGTACAATTTCAAGTTAACAACAAAATAGACATAGTAAACGCGTAAATTCGCCGTAAGCCCGTAATTAATTATATATTATATATACAAACATATATTGTATACATAAAATAATCTATAATCAATTATATTATATCATATATTCTATAATCAATTATACTATATTATATATATTCATACATAAATTATAAATATAGTATAATCTATAATCGATTACATTATAAAACCTCAAAGACAATTGAGGTGCATTTCCGACCGGATTTCGCCAGGCAGAAAAAAAAAGGTGCATTTCGTTGTTTTGACAATAGGTGCAAACCAATTTTAGACAACAATATACCATTAGATGATTTTATATAAGAAATTTTGATTGATCCGTTTTGATTTTTTCAAAAATAAAAAATAGGTTCATGTCGCGACGTGATTGTCGCGATGTGTCGGCATCGTAATGATTCAGACTGTGACACTGTGTCGTTATCTCGATATTCAACTGAGTGACCACTGCTTTCGGTGATTTGAGTCGTTGTTATTAAACGCATAGTGTTGTCATAGGAGAATCTAAACTCTTTTTGTTATTTATGTCTAAAATCAGAAGAAAAAACCGTAATTATGTCCTACATATGAGACTATGAGACATGAGTACCTCTCTATTTAATTTTTTAATTTCAAATATTTACAAAAGTACATTTTGTCTAACAAGATTTATATCAGTTAGTCGGGTTGCCCGCCAGTTCTCTTTATTTCTAAACAAATCATTCTAGAGGGCCACAGTTCATACGATGGGTACTGGGGCTCTCCTAAAAATTAATGAGTAAACAAAATAAGTTCGCTATATTTTTCGATTGTTTTTTCGCTGACTCGATGACACAGGAATTTTTCAATATTGCTCTACAGCTGCTTTTACTCTGATTTAATTACTTTTCCGATTGTGTCTAAACTCTAACGAAAAGGCAGGGTCGATATTTATGGGCCCACGTATAGCGACTTTGGCCCAAGTACCGAACTACTAAGCGTGTATACTTGACAAAGTCTTTACCGATACAACAGTCAAGTATCAGTTTCCGGTATGTAATCTACACCTATCATCTGAAATAGAATACAACGCCTCAGTCTAGAGTCAATATTCTGTTGAACTTGTGAGCGTGGAATGTGGATTCGAGGACCCATTCTTCTGGATATTGTATTATAAAAAAAATCGCTTCATAGCCTTCTACTATAGAAGAGAAAAAAGGGTATGATCGCATGGTTTACACAATTGCAATGTAGTTCAAAAAAGAGTCCTAATACGGATGAACCGTTCTCCCATAATCTCTACTTTTTCTAGATGGTCAAGAGTCTCCAGGAATAAATACAACAAGGCTTCGCCCTTCCGGGCCTAGTAGGACGTTAATAATTTTATAGCCATGTGTGCCTTATAGACGCAATCCAAAAACTGAAATCCAGTGTATGCGCCTAAATACCAAAATTGTATTTTTTTTATCTCGCATGCCTTCTATATTTAAGAGTAATATTTATTAATGAATTCTAGTTATTGTTGTGCGTGAATTTATTTATTTATTTTAATTATAGCTCTCTCTTGTTGTGTGTGTAGGTGTGTACAGTGCTGTGAGTTATGACTTGTGTATTTTTAATTATTTATACTATTTATCACTAAAAGCTTTAGCTATTAGGTCCTTCAGAACTTTGTTTATTTTAAAAAAGGAATTAAATACTGCTTCTTATGCCCATTTGAGACCCTGTACATGAATATAGAAAGGGGTTATTGGTGGCTTTCCCCCCACTCCCCCAACAACAACAACATCAACAAAATTGTAAATCTGAACCGAAACGTGAACGTAAATTGAAGTTGCACTTTTAGAACCATGTGGCGCGCTTTCTCAAAAGAAACAAGGGTACGAAAACCCAAAATTAGAAATTAACATAACAGAAAACGAACAGTCAAACCCCCCCAGGACAACAGCCAAAAAGCAAATGGAAATCTGGGCCCAAACGTGAACCAAAATTGAAATTGAAGTTTATCCATGGGGCGCGCTTTCGCAAAACAAATAAGGGTACGAAAGTCGAAACCCCCCCACCCCCCCCCCCCAAAAGCATTTCCTCTTCTTTTCTGAGCTTTTAGTTACTCATCGACGTCAGCGGTGTTTTATTTACTGTGTTGTTATGACTTCTCGTGTAGTTTATTGTAGCTGAACCAAATACACACTGAACTGTGAACACTGTGAGCTCTGTCACGACTCACAAGAGTAGAGTGACAGTGAGGAACTCACGAGAAGTCAGAACCTGACTAAACTGTGATTCTGATGACAGATTATGAATATATTGCTCACTTCCCTCTCACTACTACTCTCTAAATAGTTTTGAGTAGAGAGAGAGTACTGCACTGCTGGGGAATAGCTTTTGCCTTTTTGATTTAGGTGGGTATGGCCTCGCCTATGGGTGGGGCCTATGTATGATTGTATGCATAGTTGTAATTTGTATGTATATGTACATACAATTGATCCTCGCTAGTTGTCAACGACCGTTCTAAAACAAAAAGTTGACATCTATCAAGTGGATAACCATAGCAGCTATTTGATTGGTCCACAGGTTTTTGGCCTATCCGCCTATATAATGTGTGTTCTTGACTCAGTATATCACCTCTAAAATACATTGGTATACAAACCTATCATAACTAATATAGTAGGTTTCTTTTCCAGAAGTGGATGCTCTGCGCCACGCAATCATCTGTAGTTGTTCTTATTGTACTTTAACTCCAGCTACTTTCGCACGTTCCATAATGTGTGTTACAGTCCGAGCGTGTATACCATACTCTCTAGATGCTGATCTAACAGCTTGTTTCACAAGTGGTAACTTTTTATTAGCTACCGAGTCTCTGTCGAAACTCCACCCACTGGTCTTTAGCTTGGTGGCTAACTCATTATTCTTTTCCAAATTTAACTTCACGAACTTCCTTTTGCTACCAGTGCTAGACATCGTGATAGTTATGCGTGAAACAGGGTGTATGTGTATACAACTATGATATTAATAATATTCTGTACGTACTTGTAGTAATATTTACAAAGAGAAACGTGGAAGTGTCGTTATGGTAGCGTGGCTCATATTTCCATACATGAGAAATGATTGGTTTGATAAGTTATTCGGTCCTTCAATACCATCAGCGGTAGAGCCAATGTATGAGCCGCTAATAGTACTGAGAAAAAATATTGACCAACGCGAAAATGAAAGTTGACATCGATCGAATTGAACAACTAAAAAGTTGACAACTAGCGAGGACCCACTGTACTGTATTTCAGTATATATTTTTAAAAATACATACAATAGAAACCATACAAATAAAAGAAACCATACAAATATTTAGTATATTTATGTATTTTATATGCCTAAACGAGTATACATTATATTTACATTCGATCCGTACCACAGAGGTGGGTACTCTACTTCGTAGGTCAGCAAGCGAATATATGGAACATTCGATAGTAACAGTGTTTTGTCAACACCGGCCCGAATTGACTCAGCACATATCTTCCATTGTCGACTCACTTGGCCCAAGCTTCAAACGGGAATTTACTGACCACTTCTTCCCATCAATCTTTCCTGAACCACTACAGCGACTATGAGAGCCATACTATATGTTCATACATTGTATCATACATACTTGCCATTTTTGAAATAAATATTATTATCCCTATACAGACGTTGGGGTTTTCACTTTTCTACAACATTTTTATTTTGTAAAAAATCAAAAGCAACATAAAAAAACATCGTGAAATAAACATTCTCACGCGATGAGCAAATATCCGATGGAGTCACCTGTTTCTATTCGCTGCATTATAAGTTGATTTTGCTCATAGCAAGTGCTCTATTATAGGATTGAGAAAAAGTTATAAATACCTAAGGAAAAGATTTAGAAAAGTGATAAATACCTGAGGAAAATATTTTGAATTTTTCTTACATAACAATAGTATTTCTTCTGAAATCTAGAATCTGGTTCACCGTCTACGGCTTGATAGTTGACGAAGTTCACGCACACACTGTATTTACTCAGATTTTGTATATCACCAGTCCACATCGCCAACTCGGAGACTCTCCGACTTCGGTATTTTTAGTACAATTTGTACCAGGAGTAATAATTTT